CTGCCAATGCAGCGACTGTTCAAAAAATAGCTGATCTTTCTGAGTCAAGTCACGTCACAGCTGATCGTCCAGAGTCTCATCACGTCACAGCTGATTGTCCAGAGTTTCGTCACATCACAGCTGATCGTTCAGAGTCTCGTCACATTTCCGCTGACCTTCCAGAGCATCGTCACGTCTCCGCTGGTCTTCCAGAGCATCGTCACGTCTCAGCTAGTCTTCCAGAGCATCGTCACGTCTCATCTGATCTTCCAGAGCATTGTCACGTCTCAGCTGGTCTTCCATAGCATTGTCACGTCTCAGCTGATCTTCAAGAGCATCATCTCAGCTGGTCGTCTCATCTGATCTTCCAGAGCATTGTCACGTCTCAGCTGGTCTTCCATAGCATTGTCACGTCTCAGCTGATCTTCAAGAGCATCATCTCAGCTGGTCTTACAAGAACATAGTCACGTCTCAGCTGATCTTCCAGAGTCTCGTCATATCAAGCCTGCTCATGTCAAGTTAGCCAAGTCAAAGCCTGCTCGTGTCAAGCAACAGTCAGTCATCATGGATGCTACTCCAGTGTTCCAGAGCATCGTGAATGTTGCATTTGAAGACACTAAGTCAGACCCAAGGCGTTCGAGCCTGGCATCCAGCGTGGAGGACCCTCAGTTGGTGTCAGTGCAAGCTGCTGGCATTCCAGGGGTCTCTACTCTCACGAGCCACGCAGACTCTACGCTCGCGAGTGGCACAGTTTCAACACTCTCAAGCCTGCCGGCCACACACACCACTGTAGTTTCCCCAAAGATGGCAGCCTTCACTGCAGAACCTGGTGGTGGTGGTGCACACTCTACTCCCCGAATCTGATTCCAAGTTGAGCCCAGAGAAGGCTTCTGTTCCCAAGTCTAGTCCAGAGAAGGCTTCTGTTCCCGAGTCTAGCCCAGAGAAGGCTTCTGATCCCAAGTCTAGCCCAGAGAAGGCTTCTGATCCCAAGTTTAGCCCAGAGAAGGCTTCTGTTCCCAAGTTTAGCCCAGAGAAGGCTTCTGTTCCCAAGGTTAGCCCAGAGAAGTCTCCTGTTCTCAAGTTTATCCCAGAGAAGGCTCCTGATCCCGAGTCTAGCTCAGAGAAGGCTCCTGATCCTGAGTCTAGCTCAGAGAAGGCTCCTGATCCCGAGTCTAGCCCAGAGAAGGCTCCTGTTCCCGAGTCTAGCCCAGAGAAGGCTCCTGTTCCTGAATCTAGCTCAGAGAAGGCTTCTGATCCCAAGTCTAGCCCAGAGAAGGCTCCTGATCCCAAGTCTAGCCCAGAGAAGGCTTCTGTTCCAGAGTTTAGCCCAGAGAGGGCTTATGTTCCCGAGTCAAGTTCAGTGTTCGCTCCAGCCCCTGACCAAAGTCTAGTGAGGCCTTCAGCTCCTGAGCACAGTACAAAGTTGACTTTAGTCCCAGAGTTCACTCCAGTCCTTGAATCTCTCCCAGAGTTCGCTCCTGTTCCCTCCGAGGTGGCAACTTCCGTTGGAGAACCTCCTCTGACAACAGCAGGACACTTTCCCAAGCTCACCGTGTTCCCTGTCACCTCTGTTTCTACCACGGACACTATTATCAATCTCTCCCTGATGCCTCTGTTACAGCCGCGAGTGCTGTTTTTGAACTATCTGTGTCTGTTGAAGCTCCTGTTGCTACTGCTTCAGAACCTCCAGAGGTGGCGGCATCCACTGCAGAACCTCCAGAGTTGGCGGGGGTGTGCGCTTCAGCTCCTCTTAAGACAGGGGTGCCCACTTATGAATTCTTTATCTGTACTGACGAGGTCATGGAGACCATCAGTGAATCCCGTTATACCAGTCTCAGCCCTAGAAGCCAATCATGAATTCTCAGCCCTGCCTATTACGGTCGCTAAGAGTGCCTCTGAATTCACTCAATGCACTGTCCCGGTCAAAGAGGCCTCTCCTGAACTCTCTGCCTGTTCTGTCACGGCTATGGAGGCCGCCTGTGAACTGTCTGCCTGTCCTGTCACGACTATGGAGGCCGTCTGTGAACTCTCTGTCAGTCCTGTCATGGCTATGGAGACCGTCTGTGAACTCTCTGCCTGTCCTGTCATGGCTATGGAGGCCGCCTGTGAACTTTCCGCCTGTCCTGTCTAGGGATGGGCCGATTACCGGTTTCAAGGTATACCGCGATTTGAAAATTTCACGGTTTCAATACCACAAATATTTTCCATGATACCGTTCCTGCGGTATGCGTGGTTTTTCATGTCTCCTCAAAGACTTAAAGTGTAGGAATCCCTCATGACCCCTCCCCCTCCTGTTGGTGCAGTAGTCAGTCACGTGTGTGCTTGACGGCCGAATGAGCTGCCCCTGGAATTTACGCGATCGGCAACCGGACGTTTTTTGTCTTATTGCAGCTTGTCTCTGTCCTGGACTTGCACAAAATGCGTTGCAATGCAATCATTTTCCAAAATGTAATTTATGTGAAAATATGAAGTCTGTAAACGCCCGTTAACAGAGGCCAGAGATGCTGAAGACGGAGGCAAAGAGAAAAATACTGTAGTAGGAAGATCACTCACTGTTCATGATGCACGAACTATTGGAAGAAAATCCTCAATATTGATTTGGGGGTTTATATGAATGT